CCATTGTTCATGGATTTGCTCGAGCGGGCCCAGTAACGTCTCCATCGTGAGACTAGTTGTTACTGTGTTTGGCATATTGAATACATCACGGGTAACTTGCCAGGCTCTGCCGTGCGGGCGAGATACTCTCGATCGCTTGCCGGGCTCTCCGAGAGGGGCGGAGGAATCGAACTCGGGTTGGGCATGTTGGCTGCGTGCAAGGCAAACGCCCTACCGCTGTGCTATCGCTCCAGCCCCACTGTTAAATCTTGAATTTAAAAATGAATTAGACAACACCTGATAACCTCTCAATGTCTATATAACAAACCATAATGCCCAAAAGAAAGGAGGAAGGGAGTGGTGCTTCAAAGTGCCTTCCATAAGGGGCAGGTGGCTGGCAGGAGGGGAAACTAAGGACATCACTGATGGGAAATGTACACTGTGTCAGAATATTGTATGACTGAAATCCCATCATGAACAGTTTTGCAACTCTGTCACTGATTCATTTAAAAAAAAATAAAAAGACTTAGAGGCCAGAGCAGTAGTGTAGTTGATAGGGCATTTGTCTTGCATATAACCAGCCTGGGTTCAGTCCCTTTTTGGTCCTTTGAGACTCACAGGAGTGATGCCTGAGCACAGAGCCAGGAGTAAGCACTGAGCACCACTGGATATGACCAGAATTTAAAAAAAAAAATAAAAGAGCATTTCTAAGATTTCATCATTGTAGTTTTTACTTGGTGAGCACCTTATTTTATTATTTTTAATTTTTATTAGTGAAACACCTTGAGGTACCGTTGTAGATTTACAAATTTTTGTGCTTGGGTTTCACTTATACAATGATCGAGTACTCGTCCCTCCAACAGTGCTCATTTTTCACCACCACTGATCCCAGTACCCATCCCACCCTGCCTCTGTGGCAGGGCAATCCCTTTTGTTTTCTCTCTCCTTTTGGGTGCTGTGGTTTGTAAAAGAGGCATTGAGTGGCAATCATATTCAGTCTATAGTCACTTTCAGCATGCATCTCCCATCCTGGGAGGATCGAACTTTTCCAAACATTTAAAGAAGATCTATTGCCAGTTCTACTCAAGCTTTTCCAGGAAATTGAAGAAACAGAAACTCTCCCAGTTTCTATGAAGCCCATATCTCACTAATACCAAAAGGAAACAAAGACACCACAAGAAAAGAAAACTACAAGCCGATATCCCTAATGAACAGGAATGCGAAGATTCTCAACAAAATAATAGCAAGTAGAATTCAACAACTCATCAAAAAGATCATACACCATGACCAAGTAGGATTTATCCCGGGGATGCAAGGATGATTTAACATTAGGAAATCAATCAACATAATCCATCATATCAACAAAAGAAAAGATAAAAACCATATGATCATGTCAATAGATGCAGAGAAAACATTTGACAAGATCATCACCCGTTTATGATGAAAACCCTCACCAAAATGAGCACCTTATTTTAATGATTACCTTTTATACACTTCTCTGTAAAAATTAAAATGAACCATAAATTGGAAACAAACTCACCTGAATATACTATATATGATATTGAACAAAATGACTACACTCTCTCTTGTCTCACTTTATATATAAAATTGAAATAATTGGAATGCCTATTACATGATTATGTAGAATATTACATGCCAAACAAAAAAATGACTGACATCCAATAAATTATATTATCCAATAACTACCAAAATAGATACAAAATTTTATTTCTTACCCATGACGTATTCGATATGCCAAAAACAATAACAACAAGTCTCACAATTTGTTGTGCAATGTTACTGGTGCCTGCTCAAGCAAATCAATGAACAATGGAGGACAGTACTACAGTGCTACTTTTCAAAAGATAAAGTGAAGAGAATGGAAAACAGGGTTGAAAGTTTCTCTTGTCACATAGATCAGTTGCAGAGTCAGGTACTGATTTATGGCTCAGTTGTATCCAGTGTTGGCAGCATTGTATGATTTCTTGGTATAGCAGTAAGGCACTTGCCTTGTATGCAGCCAACCGCGTTTGATCCTTGCACTGTCTGTGGCCCTCAGGAACCTCAAGGACCTTGAAAACCCCAGAGCAAAGAGCTTGGTATGTTTACAAAAAAAAGAATTCATTGTTACTGTAAATATAATTATTAAAAAACATCTTAACCTTTTTCAATTCCTAACATTTTGGGTTTTGTTTTGGAACGACACTGGGCTGTGCTTGGGGCTTTCTCCTTGCTCTTTGCTCTGGGGTTTTCAAGGTCCTTGAGGTTCCTGAGGACCACAGACAGTGCAAGGGATCAAAGGCGGTCAGCTGCATACAAGGCAAGTGCCTTACTGCTATATTGTCTCTCCATCCCCTTTTAACCATTTTTTGATTACAAAAGTGTTTTTCTTATTGATTCTTGTTGAACTAGACATTAGTGGCCTGACATAGTAAATAAGATCTTTCTTTTAGTAACTTCATGTCTGTGAACTGTTTCATATGGAAGCTCATTTCTTGGAGTATTACAAAAAACTCTTTGAACTCCTGAGAGTAAAACATTAGGACTTGAAAGATTGGTTTTGTGACCAGAAACACAGCAAAAAAAATAAAAGATTTTAAAAATGGCATAGATACATAAAATTGCTTGTCTCTCTGAGGGTCTTTTATGTACTTTTTGTTTGGGAACCCCACCCAGCTTTGCTCAGGGCTTAATTCTGGCTCTGTATTCAAGAAATCACTCATTGCTATGTTTAGGGGACATATGCAGTTCCTGGCATTGAACTGGGGGTGGCAGCAAGCACCTTAACATCTGTACTCTGTTCAGTCTTTACTTACACATTTTCCAAAAATGCTTTGTATTTTAAGTCATAGACCTTTCCAACTTTAGTTCAGCATAACATTAAAGATGTACAAAATTCAGCTGTCTGCAGTTTTCTCTGCGTCTGTTTGAAAAGAAGTTAGGTCTCATGTTGACTTTCCCTTTGCAATAGGCTTTGAAGATGGTGCCTAATGTCAAAGCTTTGCTTGACCATTAACTGTTTATTGTTTCTAATCAAGATAGTTATTGTTGAACCCTTAAAATAACTTTTTTTTTGTTTTGGTAGTATGTAATTTAGAGTAGAGGCAAGAAAGATGAGTACACAGAAAGCGTTGTGGGTTTTGTTTGTTTGTTTGTTTGTTTGAAGGAGGTATTTGGACTGGTGATGCTCAGAGGTGTTTGGACTCACTCCTGGTTCTGCACTCGGGAATACTCCCTGTGGTGCTTGGGGAACCATATGGGTGCCAGAGATGGAATCCCTTTTGAAACCTCCTACCCACCATACTATTTCTCTGTCCTCTTCCCCACTTCCCCCCCTCCACCACACACACACACACACACACACACACACACACACACGCGCGCGCGCGTAGGAAGATTAAAACCAAAACACTAATCTTTTGACTTTTAAACAGAAGGTCTGAGTTTGGCTCTTTCTTCCATGTAGGCTTAAGATCTATTTTTAAATTTCATTTTATTTTATTTTTGCGTTTTGGGTCACACCCGGCAATGCACAGGGGTTAACTCCTGGCTCTGCACTCAGGAGTTACTCCTGGTGGTGCTCAGGGGACCATATGGGATGCTGGGAATCAAACCCGGGTTGACTGTGTGCAAGGCAAATGCCCTATTCGCTGTGCTATCTCTCCAACCCCTTAAATGGCATTTTAAAGTCTGTAATTCTGAAAAAAATTAACATGAACAGTAATTAGTCCCATTAAGTTTTACTAATGTCTTGCTAGATCACTAATTATAGATTTTCTCAGTCCTCTCTGAGTTCTTCGAAGTCTCTTGTAACCTCTGGGGCTTACTTCTCAGAAAAGTTTTGTTATGAATGTTGAAACTGCAGATACTTTTGGGCTGGAGAGAGAATACAGGGGTTAAGACTTTTTGCCTTTTAGGGCCAGAGAGATGGTACAGCAGATAGGGTACTTTCCTTTCTTGTGGCCACTTTAATTTGATCCCGAGCATCATGTATGTGTTTGGTCCTCTAGTATTGGCAGGATGTGGGCGTTGCCAACAAAAATGGGGCGTGGCAGAGAGAAACTGCAGGTACTTTTAAGGAATCATGGTCTGGGACAGAAAGATAGAACAAGAGGTCAGGTAATTAATTGCCTTGTATGCTGCTGCAGTGGCTGTGACCTTCTTTCAAATTCTTGTGTCCACGAATGTTCCCCTGAGTACCCAGGGTTGTAGCCCAATATACCTGCCCCCAAAATGCAAGTCTTCCCTCTGGCATCTGTAGCACTGTCCTCCCATTGTTTATCAATTTGCTCAAGCGGGCACCAGTAATATCTCTATTGTGAGATTTGTTGTTACTGTTTTTGGCATATTGAAGATGACAACATAGGTAACTTACCATGCTCTGCCTGGTGGGATACTCTCAGTAGCTTGCCGGGTTCTCCAAGAGGGACGGAGAAATCGAACCCGGGTTGGCCATGTGCAAGGCAGATGCGCCACCCACTGGACTATCCCATCAATATTGTTACTTGCTAGTCCACTTGGTTTAGAATATTTCTGTGCTTTTTAATCTATATACTGAAATAAGAATAGCCTATCGTAGAGATATTAGTAAAATAATTTGTAAAGCACTTTGTAAAATTTTCCTCTCCTTTCCTCACCTTCCTTCCTTTCTTCCATTTTTGGGCCACCCCCAGCTTGCTTAAGGCTTATTCCTCTCTGTGCTCTGGAATCCTCCTGAGCGGTGCTTGGGGACCATATGCAGTGTCACGGAGTGAACCCCAGTCAGCTGCATGCAAAGCAAGCAACGTACCCACTGTGATATCTCTTTGGCCTCAAATTTATTTTTAACTTACTAAAGGATGTTTCATACAACACATTTTATAGATAATATAAGTTAAAGTTACGGAAATTTTAATAGAAAAGTAACCTGAAATTTGTTTTTGGAAAATTTATATGTTCTTTTCCTGAAGCTCTATTACCTTGTACATAAGATTCTGATTTGTTTGGGTTAAAAAAAATTCCATTTTTACTTTTCATTCCAGTTGTATATGTATCAACTATTCCGAAGTTTAGCCTATATCCATTCCTTTGGAATTTGCCATCGGGATATTAAACCACAGAACCTCTTGTTGGATCCTGATACAGCTGTCTTAAAACTCTGTGACTTTGGAAGGTAAGCTAACTTTATTTCTTCTCCCCTTACTTTCCTTCTTTCTTAAACTCTTATGCTTGCACCCCCTCTACCCTCAGTAAGTTCTTTTAGAATATTCAGGTTTTATAAATAATATTAGTATTCTTTAAAATAATATTAGCATTTTAAGAAATGCTGTAGAATTTGTCCCGTGAGAGTAGTTTTGGCAATTTCTGGGTATGTATAAGAATCTCTTGCCCAGGAATTTAAACCCTGGAAACTATTCCCATTAAAATATTTATATGTTTATAAAAGAATATATATGTAGGTAACTTTTATGGCCTTGTTTATTTCCACATAAGGAAATTTCCCAGAAAAATTGTGATACACATAAATGTCGTACCTACTGCTGTGGGAAAAAATGAGGCATCTTTTTATGAGTTAAAAGGAGTTATCTGAAAGAGATATTAAGTAAAGTAAGGTTAAGATGCTATAGATCGTATAGATGCTTTTAAACACAGTCATGTATACAAATAATTCTTGGTTTATATATGGAATGATAAATGACAAACTCTTAACATGGATTGCACCAAGGAAGGCAAAGTGTAACTATTTGTAATTGAGAAACCTGACCTTTCATTGATGTGCTTTTGTATTCTTTGAATTTTTGTGTGTGTGTATATATTCTTTAGCTAATAAGACTAGTTAAAAAAATTGTTATTCACTCATCAGGCAGTCTGCCCTGTTGTTGACTCAACTTTTTTGTAGTTTTTCTAATATCAGATACCTATCACGCGATCCAGCTTAATTGTGTAGACTATAGCTTTGTCCTTTCAACTGTAAAAAAGAGTGAAGGATATTAAATCAAAACACATATTGGATGTTTGAAACAAAGCATTCATTATTATATGTAAGACAAACTTTCCAAAACAGATGAGCTTTATTGTTAAGGCATGTCTTTCCCACTGAGAATGACTTAACTGATACAGACTTTATATAAAAAGACTCCTAAGACATCAGATTTAAGAGTTTTTGTTCTCACCATTGTGTCAAAACAATCTTGTTGTGGACCATTCTGTTAGTACACAGATATCACTTTATTCTAATATATTTGTAATATATTTGTAATAGTAAATTATGCTATAACTGTAGAGGAGACTTCACAAGTATAGTCATAGCTCACTTTTATTGCACTTGATTATAGTGCTGTCTCTTTTTTTTTCTCCATAATACTTGTTTTGGACAAGTTGAGTCCAGATTTTCTTTTTGGGTGTGGGGACCACGCCTGACAGTGTTTGGGAGTCTGGGTCCATACCTGGTAGTGTTCGATCACTATTAAATGGTGGTAGAAGGGTTCCTCCACAGCTGCCCTAAGCAGTACTTAAGGGAGCCCTCAAGTACCAAAGATTGAATCCTGAGGCTTGGCAATGTAAGGCCCGCTGTCAGTCACTTGAGCCATATGCCTGGCCCTGAAGACTCTAGACTCTTAAGTAGGAGGGAGTTTGTAGCAACTTGAAACAAAACAACTCAGTTGATAACAATTCTTTCTTGAATAAAATGAAACTCTTTTAAGTAAGTGGAGGTGCTTTCTTAGGACTTTATATGATTGCTATGTTGAACTCCTTTGACCGTCAAAGGGTGGGAAGTTAACAGCCAGGTAATTAAAGAGTAAAACAGTAGCTCTGTCAAGTAGGAGAAATTTAAAGGCCATTGTTATTGTTATTTTCTTTATCTTACAATGGTTGTTCTGACCATATCATTGGAACCCATTGTTTAAATTTAAAAAGATCCTTTTATAAGATAGTTATTAATTATACTAAAATTATCTCAATGAATGCTATCTAAAAATGGGGATTAATATATATTTGTGAAGTAGTTGTATGAGTGCTCAGAGAGAATTCAAAACTATAAAATGTTCATGTCTCTCCTTCAAAAATCCTTGATCAAAAATAAATAGAAGCCTCGTATTTTGATATCCTTGTGACTACTTTAATCTCTCTTCTCTACTCTGAAGTATTTTCTTATACTTCATCTCAAAAATTACTCACCTTCTTTGTCTCGTTACAATTTTGAGCTTTTTGTATTTTCTGTATTTATTCACTATTAGTATATGTCAGTGGTTCATTAGTATATGTCAGTGGTAGCTTATTATTTGTCTTCAGTTTACTTTGAAAGATGTCAGTAACTTATTGTAACATACGTAAATGCTAAAAATCGTGTAACACAGTAAGAAGGGGAAGTTAAATTAAGAGAATATATAATTAAGCTCTTGGCAGCAGAGTTAGAATTCATACCTCTCAATAATCTCTTCCCCTAGAAGGACAGGAACAGTCTTTTTACTGGGTAAAGAATGATTAGACAGCTAATAAATTAACAAAGATGGAGGGAAAATTAAGTACATTGGGATGTAAGTCTTCAAAATAAGTCTGAATTACTTGTCATTATAATAGTGACCAGTTTGTTACCCTTAAAGAAAATCTTACTGGGTAAGAAGTATTCATTCTTGTATATTTTGGGTTTTGATGATGGAAAGATACCTCTTTACCTCTCTGTTATTTTAGAGGTAAAATTCAAGAAATTCTGGAGCAGAAGAAATTCAGCATCTATCCCTTTTTATGACTTTTAATCTTTTTCTTTCTTGAGTAATGCTTTCCTAAAAATTAATACTTTTTCCCGAGAGTGATATAGTTTCTTTTGTCAGAGACTATTCTGGTTCATAGATTCTTGCTTATATAGTTGAAATCATCTGAATCTTGTTATAAGTGATTAAGTTCTTTAAAGGTAAAGATCCAGATTAAAGAATTTTTTTTCTTTTTCTTCTCCTACTTTTATTTATTTATTTGTTTGTTTGTTTTTTAGTGCAAAGCAGCTGGTCCGAGGAGAACCCAATGTTTCATATATCTGTTCTCGGTACTATAGGGCACCAGAGTTGATCTTTGGAGCCACTGATTATACCTCTAGTATAGGTAAGTATTAATTTTAATATAATGTCTACTAATTATTGGTTGCATCTTGGTTTTAATGTATATTTTTTCCTAAAATACTATGAGTGGTCCAGAGAGATAGACTGCGTTCAGGGTGCTTGCTAGCCTTTCACATGTGGACCCTGGTTGATTCCTGGCATTACTTATGCCTTGTCCCTCCCCCAGCATAGCCAGAGAGCCAAAAAGACAAATACAGACATATATATATAATATATATATTAATATATATATATTATGTAATATATAAGAAGCAACTGCGCAACTTCTTATTGTCTAGTTCTTGCTCTCGGAGAACCTGGCAGGCTACCGAGAATATCCCGCCCGCACGGCAGAGTCTGGCAAGCTCCCCGTGGCGTATTCAATATGCCAAAACCCAGTAACAATGATAGTTCTCATTCCCCTGACCCTGCAAGCCTCCTATGTGGCACTTCTAAAATCTCAGGGCTAGGACTAATGGAGACGTAACTGGTGCGTGCTCGAGAAAATTGATGAACAATGGGATGACAGTGACAGTGATCCTGAAATATACTTCTTAAAGAGTAATGTGCGGGGCTGGAGTAATAGCACAGCAGGTAGGGCATTTGCCTTGCACGTGGCCAACCCAGGTTCGATTCCCAGCATCCCATATGGTCCCCTGAGCACCGCCAGGAGTAATTCCTGAGTGCAAAGCCAGGAGTAACACCAGCGCATTGCCAAGTGTGACCCAAAGAGCAAAATAAATAAGTAAAATAAAGGGTAATATGCAAATATATGTTGAATTTTTTAAATTCCAGCTTATAGAATATGAGCTTTCATACCTTTTTTAAAGGTAAAGGTAAAGGCCCTCCCGTTGATCGTCGATTTGCTCGAGTGGGCCCAGTAACGTCTCCATTGGAGACTTTGTTGTTACTGTGTCTGGCATATCGAATACTCTCGGTAGCTTGCCGGGCTCTCCGAGAGGGGCGGAGGAATCGAACTCGGGTCGGCCATGCTGGTCGCTTGTAAGGCGAACGCCCTACCCGCTGTGCTATCGCTCCAGCCCTACCTTTAGATTTCTTAAATTGTTAGAACAATAAAGTTTTTCTTTTATGACTATACAATTTGTTTTTAACGTAAGACCTCGCATGTCTCCACATCTTTTCTGTTTTTGTGGGGGTAGTTTAGGGGTTTGGGCTTGGTGCTTTGCTGAAGAGTGAGCCCTAGCTGTCTCTCTGTCCAGCCCCTCTTTTATTTTCTTAATTCTCTTGGAACAGTCACTTTGGAACTTGATTATCAGTAAGTTGAAGAACTTGCATCCATTAAGTTTCTAATGAAAGATAGTCATTCATCCTAACTTTAATCAGAAAGTTGAAACTAAATTTTGTTGACATTCCTGCTGTTCTGTCATAATTGCTTATTTAATTTTACTCAGCTCAAGTGCACATCCTCCCCTAATTTTTTTCCTTTGTAGTTTAAACTGATTCTTCAGAAGTCATCACCAAAAAACTTTATATAAAGATGAATTTAAGTACAGACAGTTTGCTTCAATCTGCATGCTTTTTGTTATCTTTTACCCTCTTTTAATTTATTAGTAAGAATGCTTGTATAGAACAGATGATAGACTAGACAGGAATAAGAAACTAAGAGAAACACAAATGGCAGTCAAAATTCCTTTATTGTTATGTTTCTTAAAATTACTAAAAGCGTACAGCTACTAAAGAGAAAGAAACAAAAAAAACACAGTAATAGAGAACAGAAACTTGGGACAAAAGATTTTGCCTTTTGAGACAAATAGAAATTTTCTGATATAAATTTAAGATTTTTAAACAGTAACATGCCACTTTTATTTTTGCCAAAAGGCAGAATGCCAAAAGTCATTTTGATTTGCCCCAAAGGTCACAGATTATATCCATTAAAAAAAATGCTTTCAGTGCTAATGTTAGGATAGTGAAGAAGGCAGATAACTCTTAGTATTTTATGAAAGTAGTTTTGTCATTTAGTACCTTTGTTAAGGGTTAGAGTGTCCAGAACTCTTTAGCTGCTTACTTTATCCTGTACTAATGGAGAGTGGGGTAGACAGAAATGTGTATTTATGATGTATGTGTGGTGTATGGATGTGTGTGTTGCAAAGTTTCATTGTGACTTTGTTACATTCCATCTGTTAAGGAGCTTAAAGTTCCTGAATGGCTGTGAAAAGTAACTAAGTTGCTAATCAAAGTACTAAGTAAAGTGGTATTCTATTGTAGTAGTTATTAACTTGTTTCTCTCCTAGAGCAAAATTTCAGTCTGTTATCATTGGAGAGGTCATGTATACGTTTTTTCACAGCGGTAGGGCGTTTGCCTTGCACGCAGCCAACATGGCCAACCCGAGTTCAATTCCTCCGCCCCTCTTGGAGAGCCCGGCAAGCTACCGAGAGTATCTCGCCCACACGGCAGAGCCTGGCAAGCCACCTGTGATGTATTCGATATGCCAAACACAGTAACAACAAAATCTCCAATGGAGACGTTACTGGGCCCACTTGAGCAAATCGATGAACAATGGGAGGGCCCTTTATTATCTGCTCTAATGCCCTGAGAGTGACATAACTGGCACAGTCCCAGGACAAGGATGCAGTCAAGGGTTCTCACTTGACACCAACTACCAAATCCTGATCCCATTTCTTGGAGGAGGACCTGTAAAGAAACATCTTCACAGGACCTTCTATGCCATCTATTTTCTAGCAGCTTTATTATCTGTACATACAATATTAAAATTTTACATACCAATTCACTAGTGTGAATTGTACCAGTAGTACCTAAACCCAATGGAATTTGGTTTTTTATTGTTTTTTGGACCATCCCTGGCAATGTTCAGGCTTACTCCAGGCAGGGATGGGGAATGCGGGCACATGGGCTGTCAGGGATGAAACCCCAGTTAGCTGCATGCAAGACAGGATCCCTACCTTCTGTACTGTCTCTATGGTCCTGCAGTCTGTTTTTTAAAATAGCAGTATACCAATATTATATGACACTTTAAGACACAGTTACATAAATCTTCGACCCTCTTAGGCCTGCATTACTTCTGTAAATATCCCAGTACCTGCTAGTTCTTTGAAATCTTTTCAGAAAAGAAAAGCAATGCAGTATTTTTTCTTTATTAGAAGCTAGTTCTCTGGATACAAATACCTGCTATCCAGTATCCTCCCCCTTTTTTTGCAGACAAAATTCTGACTTTGCAGATTTGGGATTGCTGTCACTCAATAGTTCAGCTGAGGCTTTTGTACCTTCATATTTAGATTTGATCTCTTTTTTAGATTTATGCCACTTACCTCTTAAGTTTATGGAGATTTGTAAACAGTCCTAAAACAAAGTAATTTAGAAGTATGCTAATATCGGATACATTTTAGAAATATGTTTAAAATAAGTAGTCGCTGGTTCTGGCAAAATTATTGCCATATTTGAAAATAAGACCTAGCTAAGTCTGATGACTGATTATTTTGTCTTATTGAGAAATGGTAAGAATGAAAACAAATGACGTCTTTATGAGAAGGAATAGAACTTGCAAGCACTCTTCTTCTGAGAAAATGAGGCAGTTCTTCAAGATAGCCATGTCTTATTTAGACATTGAAACCCAGGTATCTCTGAAGGATATAGGTTAAACTAGATAGTATTGGAAGATCATTTTTGCCATGAAATAGAGTTAAGCATGAAACGGTGCCATTTTTTTTACTTAAACTCCAAATAATCAGAAATTCAGTGGACCAAGGCACTTTATTTTTGTCCCTCCCCTGTCTCCCTCCCTTTCTCCCTCTCTACCTCTTCCCTTTCTACTTCTCTCCCACCCCAAGACTGTTCTGAGATCTGGGCTCAGGGATCACTCCTGGAGGGCTTAGGAGACCATATGGGATACTGTGGGTCAAAACTGGATTGGCCATGTGTCAAGCAAGCAACCTATGGCTGTACTATGACTCCAGCCCACCACCTATTTTTGTTTTATGTTTTACTATTCTGTTTTTAGAACTTCATCAGTTTGTCTTGTGAAGTATGAATAGAAGAAGTTTTGGTGTCTCCTGAAAAGTGAATGATAAATACTAGTTTTAGTAATTTGTCCTAATTCAAGATCACTAGTCTGGTTGCCACATGAATCTTTGGATTATTACTCTTCTGGGACAGCCAGTAAACAGTAGTATTCCTTATTGTTTACTCCTTGCCTCACATTTGTAACTAAATCTTGCCTTAGAAAGTGTTTCCATGTTTATTTTTAATGAAAGCGTAACTGAGAAATCGCAGTTTTTCAATTCCTCTGTGAAGAATTACTCTGTGATACAGAGGGAATAAGTAAATTCATGTTATCTTCATCTAATTAGCTACCAAGGTAAAGGACTTTGTAAACTTGGATCAAACAAAGCGTATACATTAATAATATTAATGCTCATATTTTAAGAATTTTAAAAGTTTGGTACCAGAGATACAGTACAGGAGATAGGCCACTCACCTTGCTTACAGCTGCATCAACTGTCACTCTGATTCAAATTATCATATAGAGTGCCTAGAGTACCACCAGAGATCACTCCTGATCACTCCAGAAATAACCCAGGAGCACCACAGCTGCAACCCCAAAATAATAAAAACAAAAAAGTTTTAAAACAAAAAGATTCTTCTCATGTATCTGTTTCCCAGTTAAGACAATATAATATTGACGACTATAGGCATATAGCTCTAGTTATGTTCAAATATGGCAACTGTTGGCGTTTAGTGAAGTAAAATTTCCTAGTCGGTATTTGCTTCACATATTTACAAAAGAAGTTGTTTTGATTATTAGTACTTAGAACTGGACACAATCAACTTGAATTTCTTAAATGAGTTGTGTGTCATTTCTCAACGTCAGTAAAATGTAGTCATTTCCATTCCTGCTTTATAGTACATCTAATCACATAAGGCCAACTAAATTGTCTCATGCCACTCATTATTCTCCTTCCTTATTAGATAGGGAGCTCAGCAATGTTTTATGTTTATGTCCCTCACACTTGACTGTAAGTTTATACAAAACCCAAAAATCCAGAACCTGAAAATTAGCTTTTCCACACAGGAACTCTTAATATGATGAGTTAGAAATCAAGTACCATATAATTTATCCTTTATTTGATAATACTCTTAACGAAATAAGGAAATGCAGCTAGTTATTATGCCAAAACAGTGGATTTAAACCAGGACTGTTTTGTGAAAACTGTGATAATATTTTAAGCTTGATAAATATCTGTTCAAGTTGATAAATATTCAGTACATAATCATTGTGTCTTGGTTGTTAAAGATCTTAAATACTCATTTTTTGATAGTTTACTGTATGAGATTATTCATACTGGTCTTATTTCCTTTGTGGAAGATTTGGTTTAACAATTTAAAAATGCAGTTGATAACTGTTCCTGTTTTGGTTTTTACAGTCTTTTGCTTGTGATGTTTACTCTGATCAAAGTAAAATAAAATGTATATAAACATTTATTCCGTGCACCTTAAACTACAAAGTATTAATAAAACCTTTGTTTTTCCCAGATGTATGGTCTGCAGGCTGTGTATTGGCTGAACTGTTGCTAGGACAACCAATATTTCCAGGAGACAGTGGTGTGGATCAGCTGGTGGAAATAATCAAGGTGAGAAGACTGAATCACAATTTTTGAGCGAAAAGGATTTTTTGCTATTGCATGAATCTAATGTAACATACATATCCGTAAAGAACTTTTTAAAATGGAAAAAGTAATCTAATCCTAGATAACAGAAATTTCAATTATCAATAAATTTTAAGAACCCAACCTTTGATTTCCGATCAAATTGTTATTCTGTTGTATGATCATAGAAAGATGAATTTGGATATCTGATTCAAAAGAAGTATATATTGTTCACTGCACTTAAGAGCCATAAGATCAATGTGTATATGAAGTATGAATAGCAATGAAAGCATGTTCATTTTTAATGATAAAGTATAACAGAAGAAGGAGTATCATCATGTACAGGTAGACCACTGATAGAAACAAAATTATGATTTAGGATTTATTAACATACTTTCATTAGCTCTAACATGTAACTAATATTTAAAGGGCTGAAATTAATTCTCTTAGAACAGCTAGACTGATTCTAATCGAGGTTTTAAATGTCTTTGATCCATTTTGAGTGAAATTTTATGTAGGAATTTAGTTTCCTTCCCCATCTCACATTTAGTATGTGGCTAACATGCAAAACGGTTTTCCCAGTACCATTTGTTACAAAGGTTACAGTCCTCTACTAAATGCACTTTGTGCATTTACTGAATCTACTAAATCTCCTTTGTCTTAATGAACTATCAGTGTGTCCGAGGGTTTCTCTTGGGGCTAAATTCTGTTCCATTGGTTTCTGAGCTTGCTTTTGTTCCAGTTCCACACTGTTTTCATTTATAGTAATAGAGAATGTAATTCCTCCCATCATCATTTTACTCAAAATTACTTTGACTCTTTGAGGAATTTTAAGGTTTCATATAATTTATAATAGTATTTGTTCTGTGTTACTGAAGAACAACAAGGGAATGTTGATAGAGAGTGAATCAAATCTGTATGATGCTTTGGGTGGGATGATCATTTCCATAGTGGTAATTCTTACAAGCCATGCATGTGTAATATAGGTCCACTTTCTTTTGTTATCTGCTTTTTAAGAGTTTTTTATTTTGAGCCGTATTTGGTGGTAGTACTCAGGAACTAGTGCTCAGGGATCCTGTAATATCTAGAATTGAATCCAGAGCCTTATGCATGAAGTGAAGTGCTCTACCACTAAGCTGCATTGCTGACTCTAATGGTTTTTAGCTCTTGACAAAATCTCTCATTTCTTTTGTTTAAATGATTCTTAGGTACTAATACTTTTGGTCACAATTATAAAACATGGTTTTGTTCTCTTCTAACTTGTTGTTTGTATGTGGTGGAAACGCAGCAGGTCTTTGTGAGGGTGGCACACCTTACTATATGCTTGGGGGTTACTATCTAGACAGGGGCCATTAAGACCTTTAAGATACCACTAACATGTTGATAAAGGTTGAGCCTTGTGAACTTTCATATATATATATATATATCTGTACGTACATATATCTGTGTATATATATCTTCACATATATGTGTGTGTGTATATATATATATATATATATATATACACTTCCCTCTATGACTGGTTGCCTACGATTTGAGCCCCATCAAATGTGGTGTGGTACTTTTAGAGAATGGCTAGGGTGTGTCTTATGATGTGTCCAGGAATAGCTTCATTCATGTTTGAGGTTCAGCCCGAGCTTGCAGGGTGCAGCCTTGAGCATGGCGGTGGTTAGGTTCTGGAGGTTTTTGGCTGCCAGGACTGGGTGCCTTAGGATGGGGAGGGCTCTCACCCACTCCCCTCTGGGGCACCCCAAGTGAAACAGCCTGACGTGGGGTCCAGTAGCATGGCTATAATGAGCCTCATGTTATGCTCCCTTCTGGAAGAGAAGGACATGCAATCTGAATGGTGACCAATGACAAGATTATCTGGTGCTAGCCAGAGGTAGCTTATGGGCATGACTGCTGGATCGCTGGAGAGAAGGCGGAAACAGGCAGGGGATCCCTGCTCCTGGTCCCGTTGAACCCAGAGTTCCCAGTCACGGATCTCCGCATACCTGTCTCTTCCCACTTTCTTGAATATTATCATTAATGTTGAAGCTTTTTCTGCATCTTTTGATATGATCATGTGATTTTTAGCATTCCTTTTGTTTTTGTGGTGTATCACCTTTGCATCCCTGGAGTGAATTTTACTAGATTACGATGTATAATCCTTTTGATGTTTTGTTGAGTTTGATTTGGTATTGTTGAGGATCATTGTTTGCACACTCATCAAAGATACTGGTCTGTAATTTTTTTTTTTAATATCAGCCTATTTTTCCTCTGAGGTTAACATTTGTAAGGAAGAATGCATGTTTCCTCCATTTTTCTGAAAGTGCTTGAGCAGTAGAAGTAATTGGTATTCTTTGAAAGTTTGGTGGAACTCACTAATAAAACCATCTGGACCTGGGTTTTTTGTTTTTGGTTGCTTTTGTTTTGGGTCCACACCCAGAAATACTCAAGGATTACTCCTGGTTCTGCACTCAGGAATTAGTCCTGGCAGTGCTCTGTGGTTGCCATATGGGATGCCAGGAATCCAACCTGGGTCCATTTGACCAGCTGAAGAACAAGCGCCCTCTCCACTGTACTGTCTCTCTGATTCCTGGGCTTTTGTTTAGGGGGAGATTTTTGATTACTGCTTTCTACTTACTTAGAAATGCAACTGATTTCTTTGTTAAGATCTTGTACTTAGTTGGTGTTATTTTTCCTAGGTTCTCCAGTTCTGTAGCATAAAGTTGTTCATGATAATTTTTTATGGTCTTTTATATTTTTGTTGTTATTTTTCTTCTTTAATTTCTAATCCACTTTTTTCCCCCCTTTGTGAACTTTAGCAAACGATTTGTCAATCTTCGTTACTCTTTTGAAAAAAGTAGTTCTGGGGCCAGAGCAGTAGTACAGTGAGTAGGTCATTTACCTTCCACATGGCCAACCTGGGTTCGATCCTTAGAATCCCATATGGCCCCTGAACAACACCAGGAGTATATCCTGAGTGCAGAGCCAGGAATAACCCCTGAGCATAGCTGGGTGTGATCCAAAAAGCACCCCACTGCCCCCCAAAAAAGTAGTTCTTTGTTTCATTGAACCTTTTTCTTTTCTATGGATTTCTGGTTTTATTATTTCCTTCCTCTGCTTATTTCTTTCCTTCTGTTTCCTTCAGTTGCTGTTCTTGCAGTTTTCTAAGATTGGCAGTTAGGTTATTTATTTAAGCTTTTTTCTGTTTCCTTATGTCTATATTATGCTATACTTCCCCCTCTTAGTACTGGTTTTCTGTGTTCCATAGATTATAATAGCTTGTGGGTTTTTGGCTTTTTTTTTTCCAGAACTCTTTAAATTTCTTCTCTTGTTTGATGCAATGGTTGTTCACTTAGTATGTTATTTAATCTCCAAATGTTTCAACTTTTTTTTTAAATATTCATAGCATTGTAGTCTAAACAGAGAGTTGATACAGGGTCTCTTTTCTTGACTTTGACTTTTTGGCCCAACATTCAGTCAGTCTCCTGGAGCGTGTTTGTTGGGCAGTGAAAAAAGACTACTGAGAACTTGTGGTCTCAAGTGGTTAGTAACAGTTGCAGCTCTGATAGCAGGTCTGTAGAGGCAAAGTCTAGCCAGCCTTAATAGCAGCTAAGGAATGTGACTCATATATTGAGTAACAGCTGTATAGTGAACTGATCTTCATTGCTACTCTTGGATTTGCATGTATTTGCCAACACCTGCTCCAGTTAGAGACCCAAAACTCAGCAGCCTCTCATAGCAAGCAACCATGGTGTTGTGCTGCGCTTGATTTGATAGGTCTGTGGCATCAAGTTTGAGCCTTCAGTGACACTGGATGAAGTAATTCATGAGTGCCCCAAAGTTCTTAAAGCACTTTGTATTTAAGTTGGTCTGAAAGATGACTAATGTGATGAGTTTGAGTTGGTCTGTTGGACTATCACCTGGTGTACACTAGATTAATAACAGCTGGAGGTTCCTTTTCAGCAGTTTCAAAATGAGGCCGTATTGACCAAGGAATTGTGGTGTGTGCATGTCCAAGGGTAGCAGTGAGCCCAGTTTGTTCAGCCTTTCTTAACTAGGTAGACCCTGTCTGTTCTGCTGTAGTTGGCAGATCTGGGCACCATTCTTGCTGCCCAGAAATGTTATGGAAGCTGTGGCATGTTTACTCTCTGACCCTAGACACCTAGAGGCGGGCCATGTGCTTAACTGAATAGACAGCTTAGCATCTTAACATTTACATCCCTAATGAAACTTTCAAGTTGTGTCCCCTGGCTTTCCAGGGACAACAGAGACTGTGTGTTCTTCCCCTCCAGCCCAGCTCTGTCACTCACTTCCCTACACACTCTAGAACTAGAGTTGGCCTTCTCAGGAGTGTCCTCTCCCCTTCATCTGTCTCATTACCTTAGAAACCTGAGTCTGCTCTCCATTTTAGTCCTTCAAAATAAAAAGTAAAGTAAAAGTAAAGGCCCTCCCGTTGATCGTCGATTTGCTCGAGTGGGCCCAGTAACGTCTCCATTGGAGACTTTGTTGTTACTGTGTCTGGCATATCGAATACTCTCGGTAGCTTGCCGGGCTCTCCGAGAGGGGCGGAGGAATCGAACTCGGGTCGGCCATGTTGGCCGCTTGTAAGGCGAATGCCCTACCGCTGTGCTATCGCTCCAGCCCTTCAAAATATTTACAGAATTACTCTCCCCTGGTAAAATAAATCATTTTCTGAGTTTATACAGAATATGAAGAACTACATAGCAAACCTGATGAACAGTATAATTTTGGAATTATTTTTACCTCATAATTTTATTAACTCAAAGCAGTTTTATTGTTTTAATAGTTCAGGGCACCAAAATAGTTTTCAATAAAGACTCATTGAATTATACAACCAGATCATTGTTTATTCATGAATTTGGAATTACCCAGAAATAAGAAAAAGCAGTGTGACTGATAAATATTTTGTATACTGATACATATTTACTGAAATATCTATCTAAATAATTTATGGCACTTTTTAGTATGATTTTTAT